GATACCGCCGCCATCCTCTTCGCCTACCCCACAGCCCTCCTAGACGCGCTCCCCGCCTACAGATCCACCCCTCCCAGCCCGTGCAAGCACCCGGCTCGTCGCCTGCTGATCCTCCTTCGACACAGGCTCACCGCGGAGGCAGCAGCGAGGTGTCCGATTTGGGCACGTGAGGCCCGCGACCCGGGGCGGCGGACGCCAGCTAGGGCAGGGCCATTGGTGGGCTCCAGGATGGGGAGGGGGGATGGGATGGACTCCTGCTGGAGATAGGGGGTGGAGGCGGGAGCTGGGTGAGGCTGGGGAGGGGAGTGCGATGGGAAATAGGAAAAGTGGGTGGCGTTAGGAGCCAGGCAAGAAATGAAGGTGAGCCTGGAGGAGTGAGGGTACCGGATGCGAGAAAGCGATTGTGCGTAGACAAGGGGCGTATGGGCAGCAGGCTGGGGTATCCAGGGCGGGAGGACAGTGAGTGCGTGCGGATCAAGGCGGTGAAGGAATAGATAGGCGCTTTGCAGGGCATTGAGAGTGGGCGCCAGGGACGGGTGGTGGAGGCAGTGGGCTCTGAACAAGGAGGTAGCCCGCCCCCTCCTGCAGAGTTCCTAACCCTGGCCAGCACCACTGCCGCTGCCGCCCTTTCCCGCAGTCTAAAGGAACCTAGGAGGGAGAACACTTGCAGGCACACAGCCAGGATTTCCAGCACTGCTGCCAGGCTCATGGGGGAAAATTTAGGTTCTGACGCAGGGTACAGAGACACGTCGCTGTTGGGAGAACTTCACCTTATGGCATACTGAATGTTTCTCTCTTATCTTCGCTCCTCCCCCTGCAGGCATGAAGACCCCCAACGCACAGGAGGCCGAAGGGCAACAAACCAGGGCAGCTTCGGGACGGGCTACTGGGTCCACAAACATGACGAAGAAAAAAACCTCCCAAAAGAAGCAGAGAGGCAGACCTTCGTCCCAGTCCCGCAGGAACATCGTGGGCTGCAGAATTTCACATGGATGGAAGGAAGGTGATGAGCCCATCACCCAGTGGAAAGGAACCGTTCTGGATCAGGTGCCTATAAATCCCTCTCTTTATCTGGTGAAATATGATGGAATTGACTGTGTCTATGGACTGGAACTTCACAGAGATGAAAGAGTTTTGTCTCTTAAAATTCTTTCCGATAGGGTGGCATCATCTCAAGTCGGTGATGCCAACCTTGCAAACACCATAATCGGTAAAGCTGTGGAACATATGTTTGAGGGTGAGCATGGTTCTAAGGATGAATGGAGGGGAATGGTCTTAGCCCAAGCACCTATCATGAAAGCCTGGTTTTATATTACCTATGAGAAAGATCCTGTCTTGTACATGTACCAGCTTCTAGATGATTATAAAGAAGGAGACCTCCGTATCATGCCAGAGTCCAGTGAGTCTCCTCCAGCAGAGAGGGAGACAGGAGGAGTTGTAGATGGCCTGATAGGTAAACATGTGGAATATACCAAAGAAGATGGCTCCAAACGGATTGGCATGGTCATTCACCAAGTGGAAGCCAAACCCTCTGTGTATTTCATCAAGTTTGATGATGATTTCCATATCTATGTCTATGATTTGGTGAAAAAGTCCTAACTGTTAGGGTAAACTTTGCCACATTTGTGAGAACAAATGTATACTTTGTAGACGTGCAAAACAATGTTGCTTTTCAGTGTATTGAAAGCTTAAGGGTCCCTGTTAATTCAACATCTTTGCCAGCATAACTGTTGTTTTTTTTTTTTTTTTTTTGAAAATACAAATTTATGTGGACATGACATGCTGTGTGTAAGGACTTTGTCATGTTGAAAAGATTGGGTGTGTTTGGTGGATGGGGCATGAAAGGAAGGGACAGCTGTAAATGCAGGCTGTGAATAAAGTTCAGCTAGTATCATAATCAGTCATCTAAAAATGGAATAGGACTTAGCTGGTCTGGTCTAGAGAGGGGGGAGGAGAAGGAACTAGAGATGGGCTGTAGAGGGAGGGAGAAGGGGAGGTGACTGCTTAGGAAGAGGCTCCCTGGAGGAGGGATGGCCTAAGAGAGAGAGGCACCCAACTAGGAGGGGGTAGAGAATAACAGAGAGAGAGTGAGATCTTGGGGCTTAGAGGAAAACAAACAGAATGCGTTGAGTAGAGAGGGTCTCAAAGTAGCTTAGAAGAGGTCCAGAGCAAGGGGCAGGGGGAGAGAAAGTTGGCAGGAATCTGGAGGGTACTCAAAGGGTCTGCATGAATAAGGAGCCATAAGGGGAGGAACACTGAGGAAGACAGAATTCCAAGCAGAAATATTGACAGAGGAAGTGAGAATGCAGAAAAGGAGGTATGGGGAATGGGGCCCAGGAGACATGGGAAAGCCCAGGAAAAAGTTGGACTTCTGGCAGTATCCACATTGCCTTTCATGGCTCTGTGCAGAGAGGATGTGACAGCTGTCAAAGAAGCCAAATGGGTTGGAAGTTCCCTAGAATGGCATTTTGACAGGGATGACTTGAGTTAAGTAGGAGCCAACTTTATACCTAAAAGGCTTTTCTTATTTCAGGGAGCTCATGCCACACCTGCCGAGCAGAACCCAAACCCTCGGCTTAAACACACTGACCTGACACCCCATGAGCTGGGGGCTGTAAGCAGTCTCCTCACTTTTCCCAGAGGACCAGGTGCAGTAATCTTGGACCCGGAGGTCTTGGTTCATTTCCCTTACACTGGATAAACAATTCTTGTGGGGCGTAGGTAAGCAGAGTGCTCAGGACTTAAGAGATGTGCCTCCTTGCGTTTGGAAAGTATTTTATCCAAAAAAAATTAGAACCTTACTGAAGTCAGGTACAGGAGTCCCCTCACTGTTCTTTCTCCTACTGGACTGTGCGTTGCCTCCCTAGAGAGGAGGGGCATCAGAGGATTGAGCCTAATGTTTATCTCAGGACATGGGGAGTACTTGACAGTCCATGCCTAGCTCAGCAGCTGCCTGAAACCACAGGTGGTTCCACCCAATGCTTCACTGAATGGAGGTCTGCTGCCTCTAGAGTCCCTATTCAGGCTATACCGTGACAAAGCTGGTGGCTACTGACCCTTCACAGGTACCTCCTGACCAGCCTTGCCCACCTCAAGCACACAGGGAAGCTGTGATGGAAGTTTGTGCAGCTCTGTTTCCAGGTGAGATGGATGGCATGGGGCAGTCGGGCCGGGAGTTGTGACTTTGTATAACTAACTCTTTCAACTGTATAATGCCACATAGAGGGACGGTGGTTGGTGGGGAGAGGGTGCAGTGACCCCAATAAAGTCCCTCAGGGGTATGGCGCTCTAGCACATGGGTCTGTGTCCTTCTCTTTTTCTCCCCCTTGTCTTTCTCCAGTCATGTTGCGGAAGTTTCCTTCAAAACCTTCTCTCTGATTTCCCCACCCTACACTTCACTAAGATATGCCCCTGCCCTCAAACAAAGAGTTAAGGTGAGCTCACTGCTCAGTCTTCCCTAACTCCATACATTGGGGGGTGGGGGGAAGGGCCAGGTGGTGGCAGGGAGCTTCTAGAATTTGAAAAAAAGTGGTAATTCTAGTTCATTCTCTACACCCAACATGACCTGAAACTGTTTGCCTGAAGAATCACACAAGGCAAGCCCACCTTGCAGGGACTGGTTTTCTTTCATCACACAATTTAGTCTAGCAAACACCTGCAGGCCACCCATGGGCCAATTTCAGTCAGGGGTCATGCTTTCTTCGATCCTGATGTTTTCCATTTTTAAATTAGTTACTTAGACATTTGGGAGATTTTGCATTACAAAAATCCATATTTCTGGCCCACCTCAAAACAAAATAAAACAAAACAAAAAACAAAACAATAAACTGAGAATTAACATTCCACATTCCAACAAGGATACAAGCATCTGGGTCTGAGGAAGGGCTTTGCCCATTTTAGACTCTGAATGCTCTCTCAAACTAGCCATACCCCCAGCTGGCCTGATTCACTCACTGGAATAAAATTCCCAGTTGTCCCCTGAAGGCATTTGCATTTGTAGCTTTGGGGCTAGACCCAGAGGAAACTGCCTAGCCCCACTTTTGGCGTAAGCTCACCCCATTTGCTTTTTTTTTTTTTATTACATTTTTTAATGTTTATTTATTTTTGGGAGACAGAGAGACAGAGTGCAAGCAGGGGAGGGGGAGAGAGAGAGAGACACATAATCTGAAGTAGGCTCCAGGCTCTGATCTGTCAGCACAGAGCCCAACACGGGGCTCGAACCCACAAAGTGCAGGATCATGACCTGGGCTGAAGTCGGACACTTAGCCAACTCAGCCACCCAGGCACCCCCCAGTTGTTTTTAATTCATTTGCTTTATCTTCATCCCACCAATACTTTAGGTAGGCTCTGTGCCAGGCAGTCTTCAGGCTCAGGTACTGGTGATATGGTAATGAACAAAATAAATGAAACAATCTTACCCTGGTGGAGCTTTCATTTTAGTGCGGGAGACAGACAGTAGCCAAGGTACAATAAGTGAAATGTAAAGTATTGTCAAAGTGGTAAGTGTGAAGAAAGGAAAAATAAAGCAAGGGATGGGGAATTAGAATTCCAGGTGTGAGGCTGAAATTGGATAGAGTCCAGGGAAGGGCTCACTGAGAACATTACTTTTGAGTAAGGACCTGAAGGCAGTGACAGGACCAGTCCTGTGGCTGTCTGGGGAAGGAGCATTCCAGGTAAGAGGGACAGCAGGGCAGGAGTAAGCCTGACATAGTCAAGGAACACCGAGGATACCAGCATGGCTGGAGCTGAGAGAGTAAGGTAGAGAATATCAGGAAAGTGAGTTGAGAGAAATGATGGGGATCTGGCAGAAGCTGATAGCTTAGAGCCTTGGAAGTCCTAGA